AGTGTGTTGAGTGCAAATGCACATTGCACGACATCCTGCCGTCTGTTTGTACGAGTATGCGTGTGCGAATGCATTTGCGTGTGAATGGTGTGTTCGTGTGTTTGTTTGCTTTCGCATTTTTCGCTTGATGCATTTGCAGGTACTCGCGCAATGTGCGCTTCGGCACAACATTGTACGCGCTATGAACAGTGCAAGCAGAAAGGACGAGCTCGCAAAGGAACCCAAGATGGAAGCTTTGCAGTTCGGTTGAGTTGATTGCGCAGATTCAGTTCTATCCAACTCGAAATTGTACTGTTTTGTTTGGTTAACTATAGTGTAGCAGGGAAGGCACTATAGGGGTACAATTTAGGTGAAGGTTGGATGTTGTTTGTCTGTATCTGCATGCTACAAGGCCAGGGGAAACCAGCGGAACCAGCATTTGGCTGGTTGGGCAAAGACAAAACAGGTTCTGTTTTTAGAACCTGAACCTGGTTGTTGTTTTCCCAGGTTGGAAAAACAGAACCAGAGGTTGTTTACCAACCTACCACCTGCTATTTTGTCCAGCCAGGTTGGTTCTGTTGCTTGGAATTATTTGGGATCATCCCTGGTTGTTCCCAGGTTGATTCCCAAGGTCCTTGCTAGCTAGAACTATTTAATCCTTCTCTGTTTGTACCTGAAAATAGTCAATTGATTCATGCGAATTCCTTCCTCGCTGGAATTTCGTTTCTACGCGGTTCGTTGGCGGAATGCTACACGAGTCAACGCTAGTACGCTAGCACTCTAATGCTAGGCAAACACCATCTGAGCCATAACTTCGTAATGGCAGAACTTTTCGCGAGGCAACTTGGCTCATTTTAAAGCTCTTGGAGCGAGCTTCGATATAGCGAATTCTCAGCTTAATCCGATCGACGGTCTGCACGGCACGCTGCGCGACGTTCAAGGTGCTCTTGCTGTTTTGACTAAGTCCTTCTTGATCCCTCTCTCTACAAACTCGGACCCGAGGATAGGGGCTGGTCTTGTACCAGGCACCCAGGGACCCTTGGAGGTGACCCCGAGGAGAGGTTTTAAGTTTGATTAAGTCCTAATAGCTTGAGTTTATTAGGCCCTTACACCAACACACACAAAGCCGCCAACTGATGACTGATCCTCCTCCTCTGAGGCCCATGTAGCGTCGGTGAAGCACGACAGCTTCAAGGTTCCAGGCGTGATCCCATCTGCTCCAATCTGTTTCAGCTGGCCACCAGCTGAAAACTGAACACCAGCAGATGCCGTTGATCCGAGGTAGCGCACCAAGCGCTTTGCCACCTCCAACTGCTCCTCAGTGGGCCGCTGCACAACTCTGGCTAGCTGCCCCACTCCGAATGAAGCATCAGGTCGTGTATGCACAGCAGCATACATCACACTCCCAATGAGTGACTGGTACTCATTCTGCTGCTCATCCTCGAGCACATCATCCTCCTCAGCTGCCTTCTTCAGTTTGAAGCCCGCAGGGAACGGTGTCATCACAGTGCGACCCCCAGTCACACCATACCGCTCCATGACACCAGAGATGTAGTGTGACTGATGCACCTTCAGCCACCTCCTCTCAACATCCCTCTCAATCTGCAGCCCCAAGTAGTAGTGGACATCCCCCAGCATCTTGCACTTGAAGTTGTCCACCAGCAGCTTCTGTGCCCTCTCAATCTGCTCCATGGAGGGTGAGAACAGCAGTATGTCATCGACATACACCAGCAGCAAGAGCAGCTGCTCCCCCTCTCCAAGCAGAAACAAGCTGTGATCCGCCTGGGACGTCTTGAAGCCTCCACTCAGCAGCACCTCCTCCAGCTTCTCGTACCAGCACCTGGGCGCTTGCTTAAGGCCATAGATGGCCTTCTTGAGAGGAAAGAGACTATGAGAGGAGAGGAGGTAGTGGGCGGCAGCTGAAGCTGCTGGCACACGGCGCAACTGGAGCAACTGGCACACGGGCAACTGGAGCAACTGGCACACTGGCAACTGGAGCAACTGGCACACGGGCTACTGGAGTAACTGGCTCCGCGGCTGAAAGTAGCGGCAGACGAGCAACGGACTCACGGGCGACTGGAGCAACGGGCTCACGGGCGACTGGCGCAACGGGCTCACGGGCGACTGGCGCAACGGTCTCACGGGCGACTGGAGCTGCTGGCTTCACGGCGGCCACCCCCTTCAACCTCCCCAAACTATCCCACTCCCCCTGACACACACCCGCTGCTACACCGCTAGCTCCACTCCCCCTTCACCCCCCCCTTAGTACCACTCCGACGGCTCCAACAGGTCCACCCCCCTCAGCGGCAGCTGCAGCACAGGGAGACGGAGGAGGAGGAGGAGGAGCAGGGAACGGCACACAGAAGCTGCACCCCCATACCCCCCACCCCCAAACCCTAATCCAGGAGTACGGGCAGAAGGAGGGGTGGGGCGCCTTCAGAAGCACGGGGGACAGCGGGGAGGACAGGGGCAGCGAAGAACGGGCCGCCCACGGGTCTGGCACAGCCTCCCGAACCGCGCGCAGGCGGCCCGAGCCGCGCGCGGGCCTGGCGCAGCCCGTACGGGCCGCGCGCCGGCTGTACGGGCCGCGCGCAGGCCACGACGGGCGACGGGGGGCGACGCGCGGGTCCCCGTCGCCCGTCGCAGCGCCTCCCGGGAGCAACGTGCGGTGTGACGGGGCAGAAAACCGCCGCGCGCCTCGGGGCGCACGGCGGGCAGAAAACCGCCGCGCGCCTCGGGGCGCACGGCGGGCAGAAAACCGCCGCACGCTCCGAGCGCGCGGCGGGATGAAAAATCCGTCGCACGCCACGGGGCGTGCAACACACAGAGTAGCAGTAGCAGCGGAAGCAGTGAGGTGGTGGGCCCACCCACAGGATCGACCCAGGAGGGTCGACTTGCTCGGATAGCATGTCAGAACTAGCAGTAGAAAGTGAGAATGAAGAAAGGAGGGCTTACACTAGCAAGAATGGGGATACAAATAGCAAACCCTAGAAGGGTTGTACTCGCTATAGAGCACCCCACTACAGGCTAGAGCATAATATTCTGACAACTCGATGAAACGACTATAATTAATTTGAAACCACAAAAGAAACTGTAGAGATTTTGGGGAATTCCAATCTTGATTGCCTATTACCTTGCACATGATTCTAGCTTGAAATTTAGGGGACTGAAGAAAAAAAAAAACCCTATAGGATGGCACGTCCTTCGGGAGGCATCAACCCTAAACACATGCGACAAGGTGTTTAGGGTTGATGCATCCTGAATTTAATCCCATCCGAATGGGTTTTAGTTTTCTTTGTCTTGGTAACAAAAATTATCATTCAAGTTTCACCCGTAAAAAAAGTGATTTTCTTAGGGTCATTATGCATCAACCAAACAGTTGACAATCGAATAGTAACAAGAAATTGCTGATGATTTTATTAGTTACCGAGAGTTGTCGCGAAATTGTTTCGCAATGCTACGGACAAAACGGCGCGCGCGAGAGAACTTTCCCTGAATCCCTACAGTGACTTGAGTAGTTTCAAATTAATAATGATCGTTTCATCGAGTGACCAAACGTGATAGCTTTTCGGGGCGAGGTGTGACCATCCGTGATAGCACTGTGATCACCCGCGATAGAAATTTACTGTACTGTGACTGTTCGTGATACCCCTGTGACCAGACGTGATAAAACGGGAATAGTTGTGACTGCCTATATAATTTCCCAGCACCAAAGGACGGTCCGACGAAAACGACAGACCCACCAAGGTTTCTGGGAACAGGATAGGACAAAACTATGCAGCTCGGGTCAGCATGCGGGCGGGCTGCAAGGTACACTTTCAATTTACACAGTTCATATTATAGATATTGCACATATGAGTGCAAAACGTTTTATAAGCACCACAAGAGTGGACTTGTTAAGTACATAAATTTGGGATGCGCACATTATCATTCTCATAATACGGTATTTACTTGCACATTGGGGTACCGTATACTCGTACCGTACCGTGGGTGCTTCTTGCTGGTATGGTTGTGTCATCGTATCATAAAACGTCATTCTTCTCTCGGGTACACATGTTTACTTAGTGTCTAGGTATCCTTCGTTATTATTCTCTGCCTACAGCGGTTCGGCATTTGGACTGAAGGTTTGTTGTACTCATTCGTGCGAACGCTTATGGATTGCTGCCATAGTACAGCTAAGATGAGATAAAAATATTGTTTCCTGTCCACCTTTACATAGTATTGAACCCTAGTAGCTGCATTCTGGATGGATTATAGTGCGGTAAGGTGACAGCTTTAAAAGCGCATAAGCGAGGGTGTTAAGCTCCCGAACTTTTGTCCCCGCCTTCAGTGCTTCTAAGTGCCACGACAAATGAACTGTGAACCTATCACGCCCATAAGTATGGTGACTACCGTAAGAGCTCGCCTGAATTCTCTGATTCTTTTCTTGCACGGCACAACACGTACCGGTACCGCACCTGGCATGAATATAAGCTTGTACATACCAGCTTTGCAAGTCCTTGCTGCCGCGAGTGCAACAGATACAACACTCTGTTTCGCGGCAGAATAATGTCACGGCACGATGTCATTCTATTTGTAACAAGGACATAAACATGTCACATAACCATGGCATTATGCTTCCAGTAAAGTGAAAAATAGCCATTTCACCCCGCCTCCAATGCAGCCCAGTCGTAAGCTATGCTGCTTTGCAGAGTTTACATGGTTTCCTATCCTAGATCCTCCAAGATGTCCAGCGCATCCTGTAAGGCTTGAATACTCATATACACGAGCAAGAACACAATATTATGCACCTTTCTTGTCACAAAAGCCTCCAAGTTTACTCTCTTTGCTATCCAGTGAAGTTGGGAGGCAAACTTGCAATCACACAAGAATTAGCATCCTTTCAACATGCACAGAACAATCCCATTGAACACCAGCCCCCATCCCATCATCTAACTAAACTTCTCACCACCAGCCCCATGCCATCCCATTTAATCATCTCCACTCATCTCCCTTGCTCACTCGTCTGCTCCCCCTCGTCCATGCCTCGTTCCTCCCCACCAGCACCCCTACCCCACCGCATCTCTACCCATCTCCCTCCCACTCTCTTCCACTCGCATCTTATTGCCCCCCACCCACCCCTTTCCTCGCATCATCTGCCGCACCATCCCCCATCCCTCTCTCCATCTCGTCCGCCCACCTCCCCACCGCCCCCTATCGCCCTCTCCACCTCCTCCCCCATCCAAAGTCATCTCCTCAGCCCCTTCCTCCCCTGCCCCCCATCGTCTCCCCAATCCCACCCCCTCCTCCGTCATCTCTCGCCTGGAGCCTCCCAGCGAGCCTCTGACTGTGCGCTGTCCTCCCCCCCCGCTACTGCCTGCTTCCCAGCTTTAGCGGCTCCCCCTGCCGCCCCCCGTGGTGCCGTTGCCGCTGCGCCTGCTGTGACAGTGGGTGGGGCGTGTGCCCTCGTGCTCGCCTCGTTCACCTGCTTTGTGCTTTGGAATGGGGCATGGGTGGCGTGGGATCATCGGGACATGGGGGCGTGCTCACCTGCTCCCCTCCTCTCTCCCCAGCTGCTTCCCTCTCTCCTCAGCTGCTCCCCTCCCCTCTCCTCAGCTGCTACCCTCCCCTCTCCTCAGCTGCTCCCCTCCCCTCTCCTCACCTGCTTCCCTCCTCTCTCCTCACCAGCTTCCCTCCTCTCTCCTCACCTGCTCCTCTCCTCTCTCCTCACCTGCTCCTCTCCTCTCTCCTCACCTGCTCCTATCCTCTTTCCTCACCTGCTCCTCTCCTCTCTCCTCACCTGCTCTCCTCCTCTCTCCTCACCTGCTCCTATCCTCTCTCCTCACCTGCTCCTCTCCTCTCTCCTCACCTGCTCTCCTCCTCTCTCCTCACATGCTCCTATCCTCTGTCCTCACATGCTCCCCTCTCTCTCCTCACCTGCTCCTCTCATCTCTCCTGACGTGCTGCTCTCCTCTCCCCTCACCTGCTCCTATCCTCTCTCCTCACCTGCTCCTATCCTCTCTCCTCACATGCTCCTCTCCTCTCTCCTCACCTGCTCCCCTCCTCTCTCCTCACATGCTCCTCTCCTCTCCCCTCACCTGCTCCTATCCTCTCTCCTCACCTGCTCCTATCCTCTCTCCTCACATGCTCCTCTCCTCTCTCCTCACCTGCTCCCCTCCTCTCTCCTCACATGCTCCCCTCCTCTCTCCTCGCCTGTTCGGCCCTCTCTCCTCACCTATTCGGCCCTCTCTCCTCACCTGTTCGGCCCTCTCTCCTCACCTGCTCGGCCCTCTCTCCTCACCTGCTCGGCCCTCTGTCTTCACATACTCGCCCCATTCTACTCACCTTTTCTCCTCCTCTCTCCTCACATGCTCGGCCAAATCTTTTCACCTTTCCTCCTCCTCGCCTCTTCTCACCTGCTCGCCCTCTCTCCTCACCTTCTCGGCCCTCTTCCCTCACCTGCTCGCTCTCCTTCAAAGGAGAGAGGCGTCAAATTGGCGGCGGGAGCCATCGTAGGAGTGCCTCTGAGTGCCAAAACTCCCAAATTCGCTGCTCTGGCGGCTCAATCTCACGAGTGCCTCGGAGATGGGATCGCTCAATGCCCGGGGGCGGATCGAATCGTCTCTTGCCGCGAAATTTGCGTTCAGCTAAAGGTGGAAATGATGATACGGGGTTATCGCTGTGCTGCTGCTGCTGCTGCTGCTGCTGCTGCACCCGCTGCTGCTGCTGCTGCTGCTGCTGCTGCTGCGCCTGCTGCTGCTGCTGCTGCGCTTGTTGCTGCTGCTGGGCTGACATCACAAAGTAGTGGCCCTTGGTTTGGTCCAAAATTGGTCTATTATTGGGGTAATACTGGCACCTACGACCAAAATTTGTCCAATTTTTGGACCTACATTTTAGACCAATATTAGACACACAGTGTGAGAGTACGACGGCTTATGCTGGCTTTGCTAGCTTGCCTTTACTTTATTATGCATTATCTAGCTTAGCTTTGCTTTAAATTGCTTGCTTTTGCTAGATTTCCTAGGTTCGTTGCTTTTACTATATTTATTATAGTTATAGGCACCGAACTAGGTTGCGTACACCGAATTCTAGGCTTTTCGGTTGCCACCGAATTGCCTTCTACCGAATTCGGGAAGGGTCTGTTCGGGACGCTTCGCGACCCGCGGAACCTTCGCGTAACACCTGGTTACCTGCCTTGTGTCGAGCCTATATATAGCCTCGCGTTGTACCCAGGTGAAACATTCAATTCAAACTCTCTTTTTTGAGCTCGATCCTAGATCCTCACACACAGATTCCGTCCTAATTTTGTCCAAACTTTGCCTGGAACATTGGGGTGCTCATTTGGTCCAAAGATTGTCTCCGTTTAGTCCAAAATCAGTTGAACATTGGTCATAACTTTACTGCTCTCTTTCTAGCGCTTTTATTTTCCACCTAGCAAAAGCGGGCCACAGTTCAGAGCAATGAAAAGGTTTGAATAAATGTTCATGTGTTACAAACAATCCATACAACAATGTAACTGAGACTACGACTATCATTACTGCTACTTTCAGCAGAAGACTACTGCTGGTGGCATTGCATAGCATTGATGCACAGCTGCAGTTTCTTCCCGAAAACAGTACGCGGGCTGTACACCATAGCTATTGCTATTCCAGCCATCATTCTCATCACTGCCAACGGGTAACACACGGGAATCGCGAGTTGTTAGACATTACAAAAAAAAAAGGAGCGAAACGGGAAAGCAACGAACACAAGACTTACCATACAGACCTGGTATATTATCATGAATGCCTGCAAGAGCAAGAGAAAATGAACGCCCAACAAGTGACAAAGAAAACGGAGAAGAAGAAGCTAGGAATGAAAGCAGTGTGGTGCACAATAAATTGGCAAGAAAACAAAAGATACCCAAAGAGGTTGCACCAAAGCGGTGCCACAATAGTAGATAACGTGCAAGAATGACAAGAATGAACAATATCTGGATTGTCTAGGTTAGCACGCAGGGCTTAAGCCGACGGAAGCTTAAAAAAGGGTAAACTGGAAAACAAAGGAAAGGAAAAACTTGTAACAGAGACCGCAGGCAGCGGTGATGTCTGGGTTTGTGGCGCAGCGGCAGGGTGGCGCACCTCCGAGGTAAAAAAAAAAAAAAAAAAAAAAAAAAAAAAGAACTGCAGTAACAGAGGAAAGGTGAGAAACTACACATAAAAGCGCCTCTCGGATACTACAGCCGTAGCGTCGCAACCACTCAGGGAGGCAAAGCGCGTGAGAAGAAAGGTAAGGACGGTGAACTGCAGAGGCAAGAGACAAGAAACAAAAACGAGGAAGAATAATCGACGCTAGTATGAGACTGAAAGAGAGAAGCGAGTAACAGATGGGGTGGGGTGCCTTGGGCTGCTGCGGAAGGCCGCACAGGTCGATCGTTGGGGTAGGTGGGGGAAGCTCCTGCGCAGGTGCGCATGTGCGCAGTGCGCAGATGGCAGTTCAACCAATTGCGCAGCAGGGAGTGCGCAATTGGAACCTCAACTTGTAACTGCGCAGCCTGCGGTTGCAGCGATTGCGCAGTCGGCAGTGCGCAGTTGGCACTTGCAGCAAATGCGCGGCTGCGCTGGAGATTGCCAATTCCAGCGCAGCTGCGCAGGGTGTACCGGAGCTTGTTGCCGAGCCCGTTTCGTAGATAAAACACCAATCACAACAGACCTTATCTAAAATATGGTCGGGAAACGGGATTACACCAATCACAAACCCCCCCGACGATGACGTGTTCGCATGACGGACCAATACATTTGTGAAATCACACACAACACCAATGTGCTGCTGGAATGACCAATGCGGTGGTCCTTGCGTCGCTTTGGTTGTACACGCGTTTGATACATTTGAACACCACATGTACTATCCCTTTCCCTTCAGAGATCCAATTTGTAAAGGATACAAGTATCACGTTTTGTTACAAAAACATGCGTTTTAGGGCATTTGATGCCGATGTCACCCAGAAACTGGACATATAATACTTTCACCGCTGCTAGTTTGCTCTTATGAATCTAAGAATAATCCAGCTTCATGAACCTTGAAAATAATTATGCAATGTTAATTTTGCGAATAAAACGAATGTATTTTTTTCCATATGTCTATTTGAGTATGTTACCCTGAAAGTATCAATTATGTTTCAAGCGTTACATCGGTTGCGATAAGGCACTGATGCTGCATGAAGACCGGCGCATGCATATTTATCAGCTCCCTAAATTTGAAAACAATTATGCAATGTTTAATTAAATAGCGTAATGATTCGAATGTTTTTTTTTTCACATTTCTATCTCAGTATGTTACCCTTAAAGTATTAATTATGTTTCAAGCGATACATCAGTTGGGATAAGGCACTGACACTGCATGAAGACCGGCGCATGCATATTTATCAGCTACCTAAATTTGAAAATGATTATGCAATCTTAAATTAAATAGCGTAATGATTCGAATGTATTTAATTTCATATTTCTATCTGAGTATGTTACCCTTAAAGCATTAATTATGTTTCAAGCTTTACATCTGTTGCGATAAGGCACTGGCGCTGCATGAAGACCGGGGCGAGCATATTTATCAGCTCCCTACCTTTGTACCATATTTCTCTCTTTCCGTGCCCACCAATATCCTTGCGTAGTTTTGTTATATTGTAAGAAACATAATATCATTCGGCCAAATTTTTTTGGATGATTTAAGTTACATAATGTTTAATTGTCCATGCACGCGTCGTCGACGTCAATAGATATTGCATGCTAAAATCTGAATTGAAAAGTTGGAGGTTTTATACAAGGAGCATATACATAATGATAAGAGATTCCACAAAGAAAGGGGGTAGATTTAAAAGGTCCATGAAACTAATTAGTATCATGGCCACATGATTTGTGATATTATGTTTAGATTTTTTTTGAGAAATAGAGGTGGCAAGTGTAGTCAGATTGGACCTAAAACTGACGAATTCTAGTCCAAGTCGGGACTTACAAAGGGTGGTATAAATCTGGTCCAATTTGTGTCTAGAAATTGTACAGGAAAAACGGTTCGATTTCTGAAATGTAGCGGCTCGACAGAATTCGAGCAAAATTTGCCGCGCTTTGGTTTCCACACCCAATTTCGACCAATCTGGCATGAGTCGCACCGAACCTCCCCTGCAACACAAATTTCGACCCCCGAAACAAAACGAGGGTTGTTAGTTTCGGAAACTTTTAACCAGCGATGGTCGGCCTGCTTGTCAACTTCCATGCGCTGCCTGCTTCCCCGCGCTGCTGCATGCCGCGCTGTCAACGCGGCGCGGCGACGCGGCATAGCTGCGCAATAACGAAAACGCGTAAATTCGGCGAATGCCACCTAACGACGTCGGTGGCGGTGGCGGTGAGGGCGAAAGAGAGATGACGGGCGCGGGCGAAGCGGAGGAGCAGCGCATGGCGGAGGTTGATGCCGCTGGTTCGAACATGCTACTGTCTAACCCCAAATTTAGAGTAGCGGCAGCGAGACGCCGTGGATATGTGACATAGATAACACACGCGTGCTTAGAGCGTGGGTTGAAAGGTCATAGCCGGACGGCTTTGTCAAGATTACGAGACTGGAATGATTGAACTAACAGAGAGATCAGTACAAATAGCAAACCCTAGAATAGTGTACCCCATATAGGCTAACCCACTGTAGTCTAACAAACCCAACATATATAATGTTTGACACACCCCCATAGGCAAAGTGGGGGAGACCTAGGGGTCACAAGACCAGTCAAGGCAAAGCAAGGCAACAACAAGCTCAGGGTGGATCTCGAGGATTCCACACAAATTCCGAGCACAAGCAAGCGGTCACAAGACCAGTTCACATGCAGGTTTATAATAGAGCAAGACGTACAATGATCACAACCTAGCAAGAGTAAACATGCAGGTATATAAATATATAGTGATCACAGTACAGGCAAAGTCAAGAAGTGAGCAAGTGAGGCCCAGTAGGCACAAGGCCTAACAGAGTACAGAAGCGCTGATGGTCACAAGGCTGGAGTGCCTTGGTGAACACATCAGCAGTGTTGGCCTCAGTGGCCACGTAACGCAGACGAAGCTGACCGCGCTGCTGCAGCTCTCGAGCAAGGAAGTACCGCAGGGCAATGTGCTTCGTTCTGTGCTCCAGTCTGTGCTCCTCACACAAGGCAATGGCAGCCTTGTTGTCGACGTACAGCACTGGAGGAGAACGAGGCCGCTCTCCGAGGTCGGTCAGCAGGTAGGTCAGCCAGCGCAGCTCCTGAGCAGCCATGGCTGTGGCGTAGATCTCAGCCTCACAACTGGAGCTGAGAACAGAAGACGAACGAGTAGAACGCCAAGAAACTGAGCCAGAGCCAAGGCTGAAGGTGTAACCCTGTGACGACCGCTGAGTAGCCTGGTCGTCTGCCCAAGAAGCGTCTGAGTGCCCTGTGAGAACAACCCGGTCTCGCCCTCCAAGCACAAGCCCCATGCCCGACGTACTGCACAAGTAGCGCAACACCCTCTTAGCAGCATCCATGTGCTCCTTCCTGTGACGGCCAGGAGCGACATAGCGTGCTAAGATGCTAAGGGGGTATGCAAGGTCAGGTCGAGTGCAGGTCATCAGGTACATGAGGCAGCCCACAAGCTCTGGATACGGGCCACTCGGCTCTACGGACTCATCCGAAGGCAGAGCTGAGAGCGAGTGACCGGTAGGCAGAGGAGTGGACTGAGGCGAGGAGTACGTGAAGCCAAAGCGCTGGAGAACCTGCTGCACCATGTGTGACTGAGTCAAGGTGATGGTGCGCCGTGCTCTGTCCCGGGTGATCCGCAAGCCAAGATAGCTTGTCAGCTCACCCAGATCTGTGCACGTGTGTCTCCTCTGCAGCTCCGACTTCACGTGGGCGAGTGCCGCTGTGTCAGCAGTGGCAAAGACC